CAATCAGCCGCGTCAACTGGTTACCGTAGTAAACCGACGTTTCGGGAACCAACTCTGTCCCCATCATCAGGGTTCTGATGTGACTGGATACCTGAGAAGTCACCTGCCTGGGACCGGTACTCTTGTTTGGACCCAGGCCCAAGGAGCTAGGGGGCGGAGTCAAGCGCTCGGTTTGTTTGGCTCTGCTTTCTACCTGGCGTTTCGCCAAAATTTCTCAACATGTTAGTCACAGGATACCATGCTGGTCTAAAGGTGAAATCTCGGTCCCTATTAAAGTTGTTGGGATGCAGCCTGATCTCTATGGCTTCCTTTACAAGTCGGTCCCCCTAGCTCCTTGGGCCTGGGTCCGGACATGAGTACTGGTCCCAGGCAGGTGACTTCTGAGGTATCCAGTCACATCAGAACCCTGAGGATGGGGACAGAGTTGGTTCCCTGAAATGTCGGTTTACTACGGTAACCAGTTTACGCGGCTAATTACCCGAGATCTTATTCAACTAACTTAACTTTACCAACGAACATCAGACCTTAAAACTACTAGCAACAGGAAACAAAATTCTAGCAGAATATATACGTGATGGTGCAAACGCAGAACCGTAGTTTTTATGTTACACTGCGGATTCCCAAGGCGAGTGGTTAAGTTTGTCAGGCTGACAATGCAAGAAGCGGTGTTGTGACCTTGGCTGCCTGCGGAGAATGCCAGAACGCGCCACTGCTTACTATGTGCAAATGGCATCTCAAACTTATGACCTGACTTTGATGCCGATGGAGGTGACGGCGCAGATGGCAGTGGCGCGGCAGATGAAGGAATCTCAACATTCTTCCAATCTTCTCCTGGTGCCACCATGAGAGCGATTAGCGCGCCTACTTTTACATCTCTCACGTCTTCTTGAACCTGATAATATAAGAGTACTCTGTATGTCAGCAGCTCCGTGCTACATTTATGAACTACAGACTAAAAACATGCTGCTCTGTTTACACCACAACTTTAATAACAGTGAGTTTAAAAAATTACTCTGATAAAATGATGTGAAAGTTTCTACAATGATCTGAACTGCTCGACTTCTCCTTGTGGTTACTACAGAGTGAAGCAAAGATTAGGAACAACCATTATTTGATTTTCTTGTTGTTTTATAATTAAATTTGGTGATTTCAAATGGCCACCACAAATCCCAGACTTACAGAATGAAACAATTAACAGTGATTTATTATTAAGGGTAAGGGTATAAAATGGAATTCAAGTTAAGCCGAAGAAGAATTACTACGAAAACATTATAGAGAGTACCTTACAAAATATAGGGTAATGAGACCTTTTACCTACTTTGAATTCAATTTACAACAAAAGTATAATCTTAAACCTCCAATATCAAATTTGTAAGACAAACAGTTTGATGTGAAGATGGCTGTCTCTTGGGTTGTATCGCCATCTAATCCGGCAGAACTTTACGAATGTTTCAGCGGTCCTTGCTGCCTCCATCATTGGGCAATCTCTGAAATGTCGGTAAACTTCTACCAGACTACGAGGCACTACAACCCAGAAGACTCACCGCCGTGAAAACCTCAAATCCTACAAAGTGTGATGCAATGGAATCAAGCGTGGCATACCAAAATCTTAGCAAGTACACCTTCTTCTTCAGTCTCAAATGACATAACTGCCTTATCGGTCTGTATGTCGCATAGCACGTCTCCGGGGGCAACTGGATCACCCTCATTTTTCAGCCATTTTAAAATAGTGCCTTCAGACATTGTTGGCGAGAGTGACGGCATTTTCACTTCTTGCCCTGTAACTGTAAGGTAAAAGTAACGCAAACATTACTTACTTTAATTTTTTATCAAAATCAGCATCTTTAAATTCATGCCTCCACTACGGCTTAGTAATTTTATCTGCAGAATATCGTACAATTTACATATCTACCATAAAATAAGTCACAAACCTTAATTTGCTTAGATAGTTCACAGTAAAAATCTACACAATTCACACAGTTAAGTCTGAATATACATACTTAACTCTAGAAATCTTTGAAATTGTAATACATTGTATTTCACGTGTTCTTAAAATATTATGCCAAACGGAAATGTGACCAAAAAATTACATACATTTTCGGTAAAAAAAAAAGTAAGCTTCATGCAGAAACAGAAACAGCAGCACCCCCCCCCCCCCAATAACAAAAGGGGGGGGTCGCCCCAATACATTGGGTATATGCAAAAGGCAAAGGTGAGTTGTAGCTTAGCCTAAACACCATGCCACAAAGACATACAGGGCTGTGTAGGTAAAACTCCACTCAGTCTTGAGACTTGACACTTAGAATTGAATGGTAAGCTTCATTGAATAAAAATTTCCTTGGATATTATCCATCGTCTAGTAAATATAAAACGTAAAACGACGTTTCGGAGATGGGACTCTATCTCCGTCTTCAGGTTCCTACACAGTTGGGCCCACTAGATATAGCTAATCCCTATCCGGAGATAACTGTGTAGGAACCTGAAGACGGAGATAGAGTCCCATCTCCGAAACGTCGTTTTACGTTTTATATTTACTAGACGATGGA